GCCTATGGAAGTTGAACTTATGTGCACTGTGTTGGAGAAAGAATTTATAGGGGGTTTCTTTGTTTTTAATTTATAATGTCTCTTTCTAACAACTTCAAGCCTATAGTGAGAAAGAAAATACTTTAATACAGCGCTTAAATGTTCACTTTTCTGATAAATTTACAACTTCAAGTATCCAGATGTTCAATTCTAATGCCCACTTTCTTCCTCTTTTACTCAGCTGTCGCCTCTTCATCCTGAATGACTCTATTTATACTTTTACTCTACTTTTTTGTCACACACTCACTTCCTCACTTCAGAGTTAAGGGAAATGTATTCCTTTCTTTGATTAAAAAAACAAACAAAGTATAATTAGTGCTAATATTAAGATAAATGGCATAGTGACATTTTGTTTTCTGCCATTAAGATATTAAATTTAGCCTTAAAACCTCATTCTCACAATTATAATATAGATAATTATTAAAATAGAATCATGTTCTGTGATATTTTGTAAGTGATAATTTATTCCTATGATGTACCAATACTGTGTATCTTTGTGTATTAGACTCTGAAGCTAACAGAGAGCGAGAAGCTGCAGGTCCAGATCCAGGCCTACTTGGACAATGTGTTAGATGTGGGAGCTCTGCTGGAGGATGCTGAGAACAGAGGAGGGGTGCTGGATCATGTGGACGAATTACAGGATCACAACGTTCAGGTTGGCATAGACGAATCTGAGTGAATAAACGGAGGCAATGTTGTTGCACATTACGTGAAATCGTGCTGAAGCAGTGTTGCTTGTGTGGTGTTGCAGCTGAGTGCACGGCTTCAGGAGATTGAGAACCAGAGAGGAGACAGAATAACTGAACTGGAGACTCAGCTCATGCAGGCCACAAAGGAGGCTGAGCTGCTCAAAGTAAGTGCTGCCTTCGAGTTAGCCAAGAAACATATGTAATCTTTATATAGATTTGTTTAAATAAGGTTAAAAGCAGGTAAAAAAAAAAAAAAGGACTTGAATAAATGTTGAAATTACTTTTTTTTGCCATGGTATGAGCATAACCCTGAGCATGGTAACGCCAGGTGGGCTCCCCCCTTTATTTCAAACTACAATATCAACTTAATAACAGCTACAGGAGAAAATGACAAAATGTATGAAATGGTGATCATTTTTTATTTAACAGCAGTATATGGCTGATACTTTATTTTGCCCAGTAGTTATGTCTGGAAAAACCCCATCATTGAATTTGGATTTAGAATAAGTCAAAAGAAAATATGATGGCATAAAACTATATAGCAAACTGTCTTTTGTTTATGTTTTTGTCACCACTTTGTAAGGTTTAATCCAAAAGTATTCAATTAAACTTGACCATGCTACAACTCTGCACACTTGTCCCTTGTAGGAAAGCCTGCGAGAGTCATGCTCCCAGGTTAGCACTTTGCAGCAGAGGGAAAGAGAGCGTGAGCTGGACAGGGAGAGGGAGAAGGACAGGGAGCGGCTGGGTATCACTGGCCCTCAGGGACCTTCCGAGCTAGAGCAGAAGATCCAGGAGCTGCAGGACAAAGGGCTAATCCGAGTGGGACGCACAGCCTCAGGAAGTCTGGACGTCCAAGTCGTGCCTGTCACAGTCGTTGAATACATTCAAAGCCCAGCCCCAGCCAACCAAGCCAGCGCTCCAGCCTCCCCGTCATCTAGCATCCCTTCGCCACCGCCACCGCCTCCTCTTCCAGGTGGCTCAGAGCAGACTGTCTCTCCACCTCCACCACCTCCATCTCTACCAGGAGGTCCTGCACCACCACCACCACCCCCTCCTCCTCCACCTCTTTCTGGCTCTGCAGCCGCCCCCCCACCTCCACCTC